TGTTAAAAAGAGTTTTCAGAAGACCCCAGATATCTGCGAGATTCAAATCTTCAATAATTTTAACAGACATGCTTTCGGGTACATAACGGAGATGTGAATAAATATCTTAGACAACATCTAAAAATTTCATAAAAAATTGGCATTATTGTGCATGCATTTTCAAAAAGAACAAGTAAGAAATTATTGCCGGGCGAGGCCGACCATATAATACTCTACACCAGTTATAAAAATAAAATGTACCTTGCCTCAGATATACTTTAGCCATTTTTTGTTGAATAAAATTGTGTACGTTTAAGTCATATTTCGAAGAGGGCTTTGTATAGGGACTAGGGTCAAATGAGATACTATCATAAAAAAATTCATCAGGGTCATCAAGGTTAGCATAGAACTTGGTTTCGCAGCTTTTTGTCGAGATACGAGTATATTAAACATAATTATGAAGCCCTATTCGGGGGGTTTATTTGTATGGGGGCTTGGTGAAATATTGGACCGATGTTAACCATTTTCAATAAGATTCGTCTGTAGTACAATAGAAGATCATGTGCAAAATTTCATTGAATTATCTTTGATTACAAGGCTTACAAGCCCTTTTCGGGGATTCAGCTGTATGGGGGCTATAATGGACCGATCTTAATAGGCTTCGTCCCTGTGAAAATAGAAGATCATGTACCAAATTTCATTGAATTATCTTCAAAATTGCGATCTGTAGTTTAATTAGAAGATTTACATGGACGGACGGACAGACGGACGATACAAACATCAGCACAATACAATACAAACACCAGTACCCCAAACTGGTGTAGGGTATAAAAAGCAATAACACACAGCTTCGTATGGTAAATTCTGTTCTTGTACTTAGTTTGCTTGTTGTTAACAGAACAAGAACAACATGTTACTTATGAAGTGTTGTTACTGTTTTGCTTGTTTATAAAAACACAACAAGACCAACATGTTACTTATGAAGTGTTGTTACTGGCGTAATTGAGAACACTTTTTGAACTTTCTAGGAGTAAATTAGAACCTATAAGAGGTGACTTTTTGGTACTTTTTTATAATTTTGAACCCAGAAACATTTAAATGAAAACCTATAAGAGGGTAACTTTTGACACTTTTTCGATCTTCAAAAGGAACTTTTGAATTTATTATAATTTTGAACCTAGTAAATGAGAACCTATAAACGAGGACTTTTTGATACTTTTTTATTCTTTAAAAGGTACTTTTTAAATTTACTATAATATTTAATCTTGAAACATAAAATTAAATATTCAGAGACCTAAGTGAATTAAAATCTGTAGGAAAGGATGCAGAATGTATAAAAAGGTGATTGCAAGCTATTGATATGGTCAATGCCTGATTTCTTTCGACGTTTTGAATGTCATGGGCAATTTCCTTGTTTACCATACTAGGGAGAGTAATGTCACTTCAGTTTTTACATAAGTAGTAGTTTCCTCTCATTGGGATCCTAAGAGGATTTTTATAAGTTTGTTATTCCAAATTAAACTTTTAAAATGTCATTTCAGGCTGTATATAAGCCTTATCGAGCTTCATATAAGGCTAAATAGCTCAAGATAAACTAGTTCTATTAGTCCCTTAGTCAATTTCACAATGCACAGTGGTTGCATTTCAAAAAGGGGAAATATATCTATTATTTCTAAAGTCCGATATTAAAAAAATCCACAAGTATAAAGAGAAAGGGTTTAAAGTTTTAGTCCAAACCTCAAAACCCCCTACAGGCGGATCCTAAAGTAATAAAATTGGGGCACCTCTGGTACGTTAAAATTGAAAAGCAACAAACATTTTGAATTTTTCGGTTCAATACTGAATAAACTACCCACGCACAGCACTGACATTTCAAAAGTTATTGTTTCGTTGATGTAGGTTTTTACGCATAATTTACTTTGATTGTTAGTTGCAAAAAAAATCTCAGCCTATTTGAAGGGGAATATACAAGTCGTAGTAAAAATATGTAGTAGGCATAAATATAAATAAATGAATGTGTTCGACAATGGCTGTTTGTGGTTATTTTATTATACTACTTTCAAAAAAATATATATATAATGACAGTGATTATCATGGTTTTCAGTATTCATTTTTCTTACATTCACGCTCTCTGCCACTTTCAATCTTCAAATAATGAAAGATTAGTATTGTGATGAAAAATATATTTAGATTCTATTCTTTTATATTCATATGCTAACATAAAATAATGAATGATAATTTTTCTTAAAGACAAGTTATAAACTGTTGTACAAAAAATACATTTTTATTTAAGAATTTTTAATGTTATTTTATCTATTCATTTTCCCTTTTTATTCGATAAAGGTTTTATGGCGTTGGATTAAATTGTTTTTTACATAAATCATTTATTTGCTTGTTTTGTTATGGTTTTATTAAAATGTCTGTCTTGTTAATCAAAAAGTTTAAATTATTTATTTGTAAATACTAAAATTTAAATTTATTCTGTAGTTTACCTTGTAGGTGATATAGGTGGGAAAGGATATACAAGGTCTTAAGTGTAATAAATTTCCGCTTCCTTTTATGCGTTACAAATTTTATTCCATTTTGTTTAGAGTTTTGTCTATATGTATGTATGTAAGTGTGGGTGTCTGTGTGTTTATTTATTTACCGGTTGTTGAAATAACATTAAAACTTTTTTACAAAAAAAAGAACTACATACCACACCTTTGTGTTTTTATATTATTACGACAATATCTACTGGTTTATTTAAAACTGTCATTGTCTCCCACTTTGAGGATTAAGTATTATAGTGTTTTAATATTAGTTTACCTTAAATTTAATACTTTTTTTCATTGAAATGTTAATGCCTTTAGTACTGGATAAATTTGTTTTTATTAGTGTTTATTTCGCTCTTTGTTAATTTGTCCTTTATTTTGAGTTCTGTGTTATCACAATGATATTTTCCATTCATTTTGTAATTCCATTATACAGCATTATGATGTTTTGTTTAAGTAAACACCTCATTAGCACGCATTTTACACATATTTTTCAAATTGATTTACATAATTGTGTTTGTGTGAACGTTATAAAGTCTAATAAGTCCCTTAAGGAATCGAAAGTATTGTGTTTATAGTTTTGTGTAATTAAAGGAATGCATTCTTTAGAAAACTAAATGACAAAAAACATATCAGCGATTATGTATTATCTACATGTTTTTCAGTTCTGAAAATTGATATCCAATTTATGGTTAATAAGCAACATTAGACCTGATTTTCAATACAAAAATAACACAGTTTCCAAGATATGTCCAAAAATTTATTAAAAGATCATGATATAGGTTTATTATACCCTCGCCATCGTGAGAAGGTTGTATATACATAAGTTTGTCAGTCCCTTTGTAATTTCTATAATATAATTTTTGGACCCTATAAAACCATATTCCGAGTCCGAGATAGGAAAGTCGATTAAGTACATGTGTGCTTCTGTATGTTTTTTCAAATCAATTTTCTGAAGACCCCAGATATCTTCGGGACATTAATCTTCAACAATTCTGTCAGACATGCTTTCGAGCATGTCAGCAAAAATCGGTCAATAAATAACGGAGATACGAACAAAAATCCAAGCCAACCTCCGAAAATTTCTTCAAAAATTGCGTGTTGTTATTGTTTAGTTGTTATTAAGCTTGTAGAGCCCGAACTAATTAAGAGCCCATAAAATGGGACTTTTTGGTACTTTTACTTCTTTCAAAAGGTACTTTTTGAATTTTTTACAATATTGAACTTAAAACATTAAATTAAGCATGCAGAGCTCGGATTAAGTGAGAACATATAAAAGGGACTCTTTTGATATTTTTACGTTCTTCAAAAGGTACTTTTCGAATTTTCTATAATATTCAACGCAGAAACATGAAATTAAGCATGAAGAGCCCGAAGTTAGAGAGAATCTATAAAAGGGGAATTTTTAGTATTCCTTTTTCGTTTTTCAAAAGGTACTTTTTTTAATTTTCTATAATATTGAACCTAAAAACATGAAATTAAGCATGTGGAGCCCAGAGTAAGTGAGAACCTATAAAAGGAGACTTTTTGGTACTAAACATTCAGAGTCCTATGTGAATGAAAATCTGTCGAAAAGGATTTTTGGTACTTTTTTGTAATTAAACTGGTACTTTTTGGTTTTTGTGCAATATTTAACCTAGAAACATATAACCAGACATACATATACCAGTAATTTAAATTACGAGTGAACGCTAGCGATTTTTTAAAAATATTTGAAAATTGATTAGATATTATTTGTTATAACAAAATCTAATATAAATAAAATTATAGAAAATAATAAATTTCATAAATTTTCAACAGAAATTGTAAAGTTTATGTACATGCAAATGTTTTTCAAATTCTTAGAAAAAGGAACCAAGCATAAAAAAATAAACGGGCTATAATGGCATAATAAGCCACACAAGCGAAAAATATATAACAAAAAAAATGATAAAGAAAAGGGATCAACAACATTTGAAAATATAAAAAACGAAACAAAAGCAAAAGCTCAAGCAAATTCGCACAATTGATTTAAAAATCAACACCACATTAAATACACAATTTCAAAACGCACAGCGGATACAGTTTCCCTAATAATAAGAAGAAAAAAAAACAACAGCTAAAATACACAATTTTATGAAAAAAACTCACAAAATCTTAAAAAAAAAAAATATTTTAAACTCATAACGCTCATTTACTTGAATAAGGTATTAAATCCAGGAATGTTATTGCAACACAACAACTTTTAGTAAAATTAAGTAAAAAATCTTCTTTAAGATCAAACTGGCGGATATTTAATAAAAATTTTGTTAAAATTTTGAGTTAAGACACTTCCAAAGTAAATAAGCCATGCAGATATAAAGAATAAGAATAAACGTTTTTATTGCAACAATAATAAACACACAACAATAGCAGCAACAGCATACACAAAAAAAGAACAAACAATTTTAAACAGATTCTACTCATTCCTCAGATAAAAATTTTAAAAAATAAACTGCAAAAAGTAAAATAAAAATAATCCTTGAAGAAAGAAAAAGATCATTTTAAAGAAAGACTATTGTTAAAAGTAAACAGACATAAAAATGTTAAAAATTAAACCTTTAAAATGTCTAATGTTGTTACAAAGAAATGTTTATGCAAAGCTTTGTACTAAATGGCTTTGTTAAACTAAAGAAATTAAATTTTTAAATACTTTATTACCCGAAAAAAAGGGATTTAAAAAAATAAAACGCAAAAAAAAACTAAATTGCTTGCTTAAGGATAACGTTATATTAACTAAGTGACACTTAAAACATTCCTAACGAATTTCCTGTTTTCCTCTTTAATTCCTTAGAAATCTGTCTATTTAAAATACATTTACAATTCCTACTAAAAATTATTTTCCTACAAACTTTTTCTAACACTTTTACTTCCTTTTTATTACGCTTAAGTAATAATTACCATATCCTTTCAATCATTCCCCTTGTCTGAAGCTTTACTTCGCTCCGCTTCTTTCTGTGTGCTCTTTTTATCCTTCCTTCCTTCCATCCTATCCCTTTTTCCCTCTTTGTGCAAGTTAAACACTATGGTTGAGATACAAAAACCGAATTCAGCTTTAAAACGTCCATCATTGAAACGTGAAACGGTTGTTGTCAATAATAGTGCACCCATGAAGAAGGTTACGCTGGTGCCAAAAGAGGAGGTAAGTGTATGTTTTCCATTTCAAAAAAAAGAAATATTTATTTATTTCTTGTTTATTTGGCTTCAAGTTTATTGAGAATAATGTTCATCCTTTGGTGTCGTAGTCAGGAGTTTGTCAGGAAATTGTATTATGGCATAATAAATATGGAAATAATATTTGTTGTCGTTTTGCCAAATTGAATGTGTTCTCCATCTCTATTAGTTTTTTATTGATTAGTTTTCTCGTTTTTTTTTTTTTTTTTTTTTTTTGATGAAGAAAATGGGAAAACAAGGATATTATTCATTTCGGCTATAAAATAGTAGATTAAAAATCCATTTATATCGATTTTTTTCTTAGAATGCAGCATTGGGAAAATAAAGAAATATTTTCTATTATTTAGAGATTTTTTATATTTTACAAACAAAAATCTCTGAGTATTTGCTTTCTGTTAACTTTTCTAAAAATGAAAGTTCTAGATCGGTTCTAATTCAGATGTAGATCGGTTCTAATTCAGTTCTAGTTCAGTTCTAGTTCAGTTCTAGTTCAGTTCTAGTTCAGTTCTAGTTCGGTTCTAGTTCAGTTCTAGTTCAGTACTAGTTCAGTTCTAGTTCAGTTTTAGTTCAGTTCTAGTTCAGTTCTAGTTCAGTTCTAGTTCAGTTCTAGTTCAGTTCTAGTTCAGTTCTAGTTCAGTTCTAGTTCAGTTCTAGTTCAGTTCTAGTTCAGTTCTAGTTCAGTTCTAGTTCAGTTCTAGTTCAGTTCTAGTTCAGTTCTAGTTCAGTTCTAGTTCAGTTCTAGTTCAGTTCTAGTTCAGTTCTAGTTCAGTTCTAGTTCAGTTCTAGTTCAGTTCTAGTTCAGTTCTAGTTCAGTTCTAGTTCAGTTCTAGTTCAGTTCTAGTTCAGTTCTAGTTCAGTTCTAGTTGAGTTCTAGTTCAGTTCTAGTTCAGTTCTAGTTCAGTTCCAGTTCAGTTCCAGTTCAGTTCTAGTTCGGTTCTAGTTCGATTTTTTTTAGCAGAACTGAACTACTAATTTATTTATATTTTGCATTTTTTGGATTAACTACTTAAATATTCTAAATCCATTTCCATTAAATTTTCTCGGTATCAAATTCTTTTTCTTGACAGTAACTTTTTTCCAGCGATTTAGTAAATTTCCTCTTTTTTCCATAAACAAAGTTTTCTTTGACATTAATATACGTTATCTTCTTTTATTTGTGTTTTTTCTTATATCTAGTTCATAGAAAATACACTTTTTCACATTATTTTGGCATTTCGTTGTGTAATCTTGAGTAATTAGTATTAATCAACAATGAAAAGGGGGCGCTGCGCTCTATTGTCTATCCGCTCAGTTTACTTGGCATTTTTTATCATTTTGTTACAAAAAGGATTAAAAAACTTTTTATATCAATTTATTTGGAATTCATGGCACAAAAAATACTCCGTGCTAAAAAAAAGTCCTAAATGTTTGAATAATTTTTTCGTGCAAGTTCTTTTTACTGGTCAAGGCTTTAGGCAACGCCTTTAGTTTTTGTACTTTTAATTTGGTTGTTGGTTTTGTTTCTTTTGTCAAGTGCCCAGTTAGTCGTTTGTTATTTTAGTTGAAAATTCTAACAAATATTTATTTAATTACGGGTCATTTTCAAAATGTTATTTAAAGTTTAAAATAAAAAGAAAGAAAACAAAGTTTTTGAAAGAAATTTAGCAAGAACACAAATCTTACATTTTAGAAAGCCGATTATATTTAAAGTTGGTTAAAAGGTTTTGGAATAGATTTTTCGGTTAATGTTGAAATATTGTGAATAATAAAGCTTAAAGTTTAAAACTACAATACATTTTTTTGAATGGTAAATCGATCGACAACTCCATCCAGCAAGAGATAAAAATAAAATGAAGTATTAGTGGATCCGTAGGTTTTTGTGGCCTAGCTAAACTGGTAGTTGCCTCCCTAACAATTTTGCTCTTTTTTTATTAAGTTTATTTTCATGTCATTTTTTATCCCGTTTAATAGAGTGAGATTATTTACCAACAAAACTCAAACAAACAAACAAACAAACTGATGAAAATATTAGGGGAAAAACTGCAAACTTTGTTTTGAAAATTGACCCGCATTCATTATTTACTTTTATACTTGTATGTCTATTTATCTACGTGTGTGTGTGTTTGATTGTTTGTCAATATTTTAATGTTTGATTAGATGTGGGCTTTAGATTAAAAAAATAAAAAGAGCAAAGATAGTCGATAAAAACGTGGTACGTATGAAGGGGACGTTTATTTAGGCAAATATCTCTGGGGAAAATAAACAATTTTTCGTATTTTTCTTTTGAACAACATGACGTATGAGTGATAAAAAATAGACTTCACTAATAAACTAAAAATTCCTTAAAACACACTGTGAGTAATCGAATTTCGTTTAATTTTGGCGCTGCTGCTGCCTTTGGTGTATTTTATTAACAAACACAAATATGTATTTAAGGACTGCAAAAATATGTATCTATGTTGCTAAAAAATAAAAAATACGACAGCAGACTTAAAATTCTTCATTTTTTGCAAGTGTAAAGGTAAACACCGCTTTCACATTCTCCATTATAAAACAGATATGAATATTAAATGTTATCTTCTTTGAAATCATCCTCGTAATATGTACGGTAGACCATCATAAATATTATTGAATTGATATAAAGAATATACAATTTTAGATAAATAAATCCATATGAAAAAAACCAACATCCAAATGTTACTAAACAAATAAACTGCAAACGTTGTTTTTCTCTTTTACTTTTTCAAGGGATTATAATTTATTTAAGGACATTTTTTCTAGTTCACACACATGTATAATACAATTGTTTGCATACCTACACATACAAAGAAACGTGAAAAGATACGAAAAAAAAATCCAACATCCAGCTAAAGAAATAATGTTATTATTTTCTGTTGCCAATGTAACACCAAACATTTCTATACCCAAATCAATTATTTGCCTTTGGGCAAAAAACCATAAATTTTATTTAAACAGCAGCACTAAGTAAATGTAACTGTAACAAAAAAAAAATTGGAAAAAATTACAATACAACACAATTTATTAACAAACAACAAAAAAATAAAAGTCCAAAAAAAATCCCAAAAAGTAACATTTTGAAACCCTCCAGCAAAACTTATCGTATGACACTGTGCCCACGTATTTTAACGACATGTTTACATAAAAAATAAACAATAGGAGCCAAAAAACTTAAAACCTCTTAAAATGTTTAAAAGCACTAATTACTGTTGTCTTTGTTTTGCTAATAATTATTTTTGGAGTTAAAAATATTACAGCTTAATTATAATTAATAATTAATTCACCTGAAACATTTTAAATTAATCTTACAGAGTTATACAGTTAATGGTAATATTTAAAGTGTATCTTCTATAGGAATTATTTATACAAATGCACTTACAATTACAATTTTAGGAACTGTCTGAAAGCATAGTGTAGTGTATATAGTTTTAAATATAGATAGATATATAGATAGATAGATAGATAGATAGATAGATAGATAGATAGATAGATAGATAGATAGATAGATAGATAGATAGATAGATAGATAGATAGATAGATAGATAGATAGATAGATTGATGATAGATTGATAGATTGATAGATAGATAGATAGATAGATAGATAGATGATCGATAGATAGATAGATAGATAGCTAGATAGAATAGATAGATAGATAGATAGATAGACAGACAGACAGACAGGACAGACAGACCGACAGACAGACAGACAGACAGACAGACAGATAGAATTGATAGACAGATTGATAGATAGATAGATAGAATAGATAGATCGATAGATAGATAGATAGATAGATAGATAGATAGATAGATCGATAGATGATAGATAGATAGATCAGAGATGATCGATAGCTAGATAGATAGCTAGATAGATAGCTAGATTAGCTAGATAGCTAGATAGATAGACGGACAGACAGACTAGATGCTAGACAGATTGATAGACTAGATAGATAGAATAGATAGATAGATAGATAGTGATAGATAGATAGTAGATAGATAGATAGATAGATAGATAGATAGATAGATAGATAGGATAGATAGATCGATAGATAGGTAGATAGATAGATAGATAGATAGATAGATAGATAGATAGATAGATAGATAGAGATAGCTAGATAGATAGATAGATAGATAGATATCGATAGAGAGATAGATAGAAGATAGATAGATAGATAGATAGAATAGATAGATAGATAGATAGATAGTAGATAGATCGAAGAATAGATAGATACGATAGATAAGATAGATAGATAGATAGATAGATAGATAGATAGAGAGATAGATAGATAGATAATAGATAGATAAGGATAGATAGATAGATAGATAGATAAGATGATAGATAGATAGAAGATAGATAGATAGATAGATAGATAGATAGTAGATAGATAGATAGATAGTAGCTAGCTAGTAAGTTTAAATGTTACAAATAACCCAACATAACATACATATTTTTTTGTTTTTGTAGAGTACAACAACGAAAATGTTTGTTTTAATAGTACTATTAAAGTTACCAACACCCTCCATTTTTCTAACGACTCTTGTTCAAAGTCATTTCACTCAAATAATAACAACGAACAAATTTTTACAAAAATAAAAAACTTAAAAAATCTGTCAAAAAGTTTTTGTCAGTTGTTTTGTGTTATTAACAAAAACAACGAACAAGTTGCAGAAAAAAACATGAAAATATTTAAAATTACTCGACTCAAGAGTTTTTTCCCAGAACTTGGCTAAAGTGACTAAAGGAACGAGTGGATGGATACATTTCTCAATGTGTTTTTTTTAACGTTAAGTTTTTATTTACGGCAAAAATTATGTCCTTTTCGCGCATAAAGTGCTTTCATGATTTTTTGTTAATATTTCTAACATTTCGTTCATTCATTCCCCTTTCCAATTTTTTTGACAATGTTTTATGACACTCAACAGAGTTTAAAACACCAAAAAGGGCCTGTTAAAACTGTGTTTTTGTTCTTAAAG